TATGCGTTTTTCTGGATTTTTTGTGTTATTCTGTCTCTCACGGTTTAAATAAACCTACCATTAAAATTATACACTGATAATTTCTTTGTCAGTGGGAAAACGTACAAAATCAGCAGGGGATGAAATACTTTTTTCCCTCACTGTATAGGACTCACCACTGTGATCTCTACATTGGGTCAAACTTAACTTCTCTTAATGATCGACAGCGTGTGCATCAGATCTTATTTATTCACGATGTACTTACAATAAAATCCGCAGACTACCTGCTGGATCTCCTCTCTGTTTCAAAGAGCAAATTTCACCTAAGGTCTTCGCTCATTTACCAGCTTCACATTCCATATTGAAATACAAATACTGGAGGAAGAGCCTTTGCTATTGATGCCCCCAGGGTCTGGAATGCTATTGCCAATAAACTGCAACTTGAATCACTACTTATGAGATATTCACTTAAAACTGCTCTAGAAGAGCTGTACACCCCTCGCTGCCACTGCTATTCAGTGGCCTAAAATAAAATAAAATGTTTCGCTCCGGATGACCGCTGCAAAGTATTATCTGTATTTTGATTAAGTGTGCTGATCTTAAATGTGCATTGGAAAATTTGATACTCCGACTGATGCTCCTGCTGTTGTGGAGTGACTCATGCAGCCAGCTATGGCTGCAGGGTTTGGTGGTACATGTTGTTTGTCGTTAGTTGTAAAAATTCGGTCACAGTTCCTATGATCACTGTTACATTGAATTTATGGCTTTATTTTGGTGATTTAGAAAAGTTTTTTGGTTTGGCCATGTTTGTGTGTTGTAGTACAGAGTTAGACTGATGGCTTAAATCTAAGTTGTCTTGTGATTGTTGTTGTTTGACTTGCATCCCACTGGGATTTTTGCACACAGCGTTGGTGTACGGTGCGTTTTCTGGAATATTTTGCAGTTTTTTCCAGGATTTTCTGTTTGCACAGTCACATTGTCACTTTATGATGTTTCCTTGTTCGTGTTTTTAAATCCTTTATATTAAGTTCACTTGCTTGCTTGCTTGCGCGCTTACGACCGTGCAAATCTTTCGGTCGTTTTTTAACCCACTTCCCGTGATCCAATCGAGCGGACATTTTGCACACAGACTCGTTGTGTGTGACAATTTATTTTCGTGAAAATTTTTTTCCAAAATTTTCCACTTTTTATGAAAAAAAATGTATATTTAATTTAAAATACCAATGTGATAAAAATGAAACTCTTACTCAAGAAAAACAGAAATGAATAATAAAATAAAACCGATGCCACGCATATAAAGGATTTTTTAATCCTTTATATTAAGTTCACTTGCTTGCTTGCGCGCTTACGACCGTGCAAATCTTTCGGTCGTTTTTTTAACCCACTTCCCGTGATCCAATCGAGCTGACATTTTGCACACAGACTCGTTGTGCGAAACAATTTATTTTCGTGAAAAAAAAATTCCAAAATGTTCCACTTTTTAGGAAAAAAATGTTTTATTTAAAATACCAATGTGATAAAAATGAAACTCTAACTCAAGAAAAACAGAGATGAATAATAAAATAAAACCGATGCCACGCATATAAAGGATTAATAGTGAAAAACTTTGTTTTAACGGATTAATTTTTTTGTTGTTGTGGTTGCACCCGATACAAGAACCGAATGTCTTCTTGGTTATTTCGGTAAAGTCACGTAGAAGGGAAGTAATAAAATAATAAAAATAAAACATAATAAAACAATTCTCACGACGTTTCGGCCACAACGCAAGCAGCCGTCCTCAGGTGAAAACCAGGTCCGTCGAGGCGACAGAGTCTGAATGAAACAGCACACGAGCTTGGAGCATATATATAAGCTGGGTGCATTGACAAATGAATTTGCATATCAAAAGGAATTTAGCATATTTATGGGAAATGCAGGAATGTGATTAGTACTGCATATGCATGTGCATTATGCAGGATTAACAGCATCAAAGGGAGCTGCAGTTACTGCTGCTGCAGCAGTTGCTGCTGCTGCTGCAGTTTCTGCTGCTGCTGCAGTTGCTGCTGCTGCTGCACTTGCTGCTGCTGCTGCACTTGCTGCTGCTGCTGCAGTTGCTGCCTTATCCATTTTAATATAACACTATGTATTATTCTACCCACCCTAATGTGTATCATACTGCTATATGTTTACTGTACAATTACGACACCATACATTACTCTGCACACTGCACCATGCCAGTGAGTGGAACGCGGTCTGAAAGTCACCGTAAACGTGAACACAATCAGTTAAGATCCGAAATGGTTTATTACGTCCTTCCAATGATTGCTAAGCCAGAATCCATCTTCTCGGTTGAAATTGTCTCTGTGTTTGTATATGTGGATCGCCTCATGAACGAATCTCTCATGATAGCCAGATGGCTTGCAGAGAACCTCTGTCTTGGAGAAGTCAATGTCATGTGAGCCCACTGAATTGTAACAGTGATCTGCCACGGCTGAGGTGTTTGTCCTACCGTGTTTCAGGTCTGCCTTATGTTCACGGATGCGGTCCGAGACATGTCGTTTGGTTTCTCCAATGTAACTGCTACCACAGAGGCAACTTAGTTTGTAGACGCCAGGGTACTGTATGTCTGGAACCACATCTTTTACAGACGGGACCAGATCACGGATTTTTTATGTACACAGTCCCGTCTGTAAAAGATGTGGTTCCAGACATACAGTACCCTGGCGTCTACAAACTAAGTTGCCTCTGTGGTAGCAGTTACATTGGAGAAACCAAACGACATGTCTCGGACCGCATCCGTGAACATAAGGCAGACCTGAAACACGGTAGGACAAACACCTCAGCCGTGGCAGATCACTGTTACAATTCAGTGGGCTCACATGACATTGACTTCTCCAAGACAGAGGTTCTCTGCAAGCCATCTGGCTATCATGAGAGATTCGTTCATGAGGCGATCCACATATACAAACACAGAGACAATTTCAACCGAGAAGATGGATTCTGGCTTAGCAATCATTGGAAGGACGTAATAAACCATTTCGGATCTTAACTGATTGTGTTCACGTTTACGGTGACTTTCAGACCGCGTTCCACTCACTGGCATGGTGCAGTGTGCAGAGTAATGTATGGTGTCGTAATTGTACAGTAAACATATAGCAGTATGATACACATTAGGGTGGGTAGAATAATACATAGTGTTATATTAAAATGGATAAGGCAGCAACTGCAGCAGCAGCAGCAAGTGCAGCAGCAGCAGCAACTGCAGCAGCAGAAACTGCAGCAGCAGCAGCAACTGCTGCAGCAGCAGTAACTGCAGCTCCCTTTGATGCTGTTAATCCTGCATAATGCACATGCATATGCAGTACTAATCACATTCCTGCATTTCCCATAAATATGCTAAATTCCTTTTGATATGCAAATTCCTTTGTCAATGCACCCAGCTTATATATATGCTCCAAGCTCGTGTGCTGTTTCATTCAGACTCTGTCGCCTCGACGGACCTGGTTTTCACCTGAGGACGGCTGCTTGCGTTGTGGCCGAAACGTCGTGAGAATTGTTTTATTATGTTTTATTTTTATTATTTTATTACTTCCCTTCTACGTGACTTTACCGAAAGAACCAAGAAGATGAATCCCTGCAGTCACGAAAGCTTTAAATCGAAAAAAGAACCGAATGCCTCACAGGGCAAAACCAAATAAATGAAATTGAAACTGAAAACATCCACTTCCTCTTTAGCCCCACTCCCACCTTCAGGCCTCATCCTCTTCAAGCCCCACCCACCCCCCGCTTCAGCCCCCCCCCCCCGCATCACAAGGCCCCAACCACCCCTTCCTGCAGACCAGGGCCGGGCTTGTGTTTGTAAAGGCAGCGGTGTTGCTTAAATCTTACCTCCTCCTCCATCCTTGCACACGTCACCCATCTTCCTCATTGCATCTTCACAATACTGTACCCACGTTTACTCTGGTCCGTAATCATATCCTCGGCATATTTTGCATTCATGTAACATGTTTAACTTGTTTGTACAATTTAGCTGCAGCCGCCTCTGATTACCACGGTGTGAAAGAAGTTCAACATCCCATAAGGCGCGTTAATCTTTAGATCAAGGTTATTATTAGCATTGTTGCACTTTGTTTCAGCAGGAAAGCCCACTAGGAAAGCCCACTGATTCTCATTCCTTTTTTTGAGGCGGGTCCTGTCAAGTGTTCGCTCGGTCACATCACCGACTCGGGTGTCACCGTCATTGTATGAATGTTAAACAAACACAAACAAGTGTGGGTTCACGGTGGTCTGTGTGCGCGCGTCGTTACATGCGTTTACAATGCACGCGTCATACACCTTGACACCTTTCACAAACGAGATGTCCCATCTCAAAGGGCCGCGGAGTTTACACGGTAGTTTCCGCGTAATATGAGTCGCGCATTCGAGGAGTTTTAATGTGCAATATATGCGCCTTGCTCCTAAAACTAAACTACTTTCATTTATTTTACCAGGTAAGGCCCAATGAGCTATATAGCTTGCTTTTTTAAGAAGCGACCTGGTCACAAATGATAGTTCAATTAAGTGGCTTATCAAGTGGGAATATATAGCAGCCAAATACTCCAAACTGCGTGTTTAATGTTAATGTGGAGGACCCGGAGAAACATCCACGCGACCACGGGATGAACATGCAAACTCCAAATGTACAGGCATGGTCAGGGTCAAGATCGCATCTACGCCCTCCTTGTAGTACCAGGCGATTGAGATAACGTCTCGTCACCGTAGCACTCCCTGCAAGATTCGCGGGGCCAGAGTTTTGCCGGCGCCTACGGCAGAGCTGCTGAAGACATCCACTCACAACGAGGCCGCGTGGCCGGATGGGATGTGTGCAATACAAAGCTTTCTCAGGTGTGGACCAATCAACTTCAAGGACAGTGCATATCATTATCATCATCAGAGTTGTTTCTTTTTGTTTGCATTTTGACTTCTTGTGTTGAGGTTATTGCAAACATGATGCCTTGTATAAAGGTGTCAGATTTTGTGCCAGTTAAAAGGGTAAACACCTATTACTATTACAAAGCTTTGTTTTATTTCTATGCAATTCGACAGATTACGTAAAGCATTGTCTGCTTATTTATTTGGTTTCTCGTATTCTCACGCACCGCCGCGAAATGGTTATTTATGCGTACAATATTATTTAATGTAAATTATAAACAAAGATATATCCAAACACCTCGTAACGAATTATGACCACAAGCCTCACCCGCGTCCGCACTGTAACAATGACAGCAGCAGATGCGGACACTGGACGATGATGCACGAATGTCATCTTTTTTTAAACCTCTCCGGCAATGTGCAGCAGCGACTGTAGTTACCACCCAGAAACAGATCGTGGATCACACAGAAGCAACTCAAAAAAATAAACATCCCGATTCACAAACACGGAGGAGGAGGCATCACCGCCGCAGCCAGACACTTCACCACTCCTGGCGTCATTTGTTCGCATCGTCGTTTAACCAACCTCAACGCCACCCTGTGGTTGTGGCTCCACATCAACGACCAGCCACGCGACGAGCAATTTCAATTCAAACTTCACAGGGCGATACGGTAACCTCTGGTTTGTCACACACCGCACTCAAAGAGCCCGCGAAATACGCCCGCCACGTTACCAAAGTCGGACGGATCCATGATCGCACGAACACTCTGGAGCGCTGGATGAAGCAGAACTCTTCGTTCACGGCACCGGCGGTGGTAGTGGTGTGAGCGTCGTTTCCGTGAACAGTTCGTTATAAAGCCGTCGGGGTCTTACTGATATCGTCATAGCGCGTCCGCCCTGCCGCTGAACAGAAGGACGCGCAATTGCTGAGAATCGACGCGTCTCGAGCCACCAAACTCATTTTTAGACCGCCCCACCCCCGCGATAAAACTGCGTCACAAACCAAATATTCTAGATTTGAAGCTTTCGTGACTGCAATTATTCATATTCTTAGGTTTTTTTCGATAAAGTCACGTTTTTTCGGTAAAGTCACCTACGTGACTTGTTCTTAGGTTTTTTCGGTAAAGTCACCTACGTGACTTTACCGAAAAAACCTAAGAACATAAACCAAATATTGTCACTGGGTAATGTTATTTCCTTATTGCTTATGCCTCAAAAGTTCAGCAAATGGCCATTGTTCCCCAAAAACTTTGCTTTTGTGACCAGGACACAAAAGCAAAGTTAATAATCCACTCGCTTACCCGATCTTATCGTGAGGTCCAAATTCAAACATCACACGTGTTTTCCTCCAGTTGCTTTGGTCAAACCTCCCTGACCCATTCTGTACCCCGTACCGCCGACAATATTCGTGCCTCAAACACTCAATCTCAACATTAAAGTAAACCTCCCTAAAATTATTCCCAGTGCGTTACCTTATTAATAAAAAAACATGACAAGGCGTTGAATGCATCTCTTAATCTCCTGTTTCTCAAGTGAACGTTTATAGCCAGGGGTGGGGGAGGTCTCGCTTAGACAACATCTCTATCCCAATGAAGATCTGAGGTGCAAACAATGAATGCACAAAACCAAAAGTACGGAGCGAGTTATCCGCATTCACTTGTAGATGCGGAGTTGAAAAGCCAGAACAAAGTCAGAACAAAGTCGAATGAACTCCGGGGCTTGAGTGGATCCTGAGTTTGTCAGGGCAGAGTGTCACGGAAGCTCGGCCCATCAGCGGGCATCTTCTTGCTGTAGTCTTGCTCAAACGCTTCCAGCTGCGATGCAGAGAAGTGATTCTTCCAGTCACCCACCTCCCCTAGCGAGGTGAAGGGGGGGGGGGTAAAAATATATAAAGACAGTGGGTTGGAGAAGAGGTGCAGTAGACAATGTTACCGTATACTCGTATCGGGGTAGCCCCGTTCGTGAGACGTTAACTCCCTCGCCTGGAATGCATGAGCGTGTGGGTTTTACTGGGTAAACAACGACACCGTGAATTTAATTAGCCAAGTGCAGCTTGTTATAGACGGATTCCAACGCCCACATTGATTAATAACTCAAGATTGCAAAGTGGGCGAATGCCCCGGGGGTGGTTTGATAAACCCAACAAACCTGACGTGAATCCTGAAACTCAACATGCGAGCAAACCGCCACACCGTGGTGATGGTGGCGGTGATGTGCACGCTCATTCAGATTGTGTGGATGTGACGATCTGGGTTGGTGGAACCCGCAGTGGTCATGCGGTGACGTGGATCAACAGTCGCATGTGTGTCACTGGTTGCAAGAAGTTCACGGTTCGAATCCCACGTTCCCCTTGGTGAATAATGTACTTTTCCAATTTGTGCTCATACTTTATATATTTTTTACGTACTTATGTTTAGTGAGTTGATTACCTATGATATACTTTGGACTCCAAACGTTTTTTTTATATTGTAAATTTCTGACCCACGCACCCACTACTGGACGTGTGAAAAAGAGCTTCACAGCTCATCGGATTTTTCCAGGATGTTATAAGGAATAAATGCGGTGTGGTATTAACTGTAAAATACGACGCACCATTTGCTTCACAGTGGACTTTGAAGATCCCGTGACGTCCGGCGTGATGGTCCATATATAATTTGTATGACCTCGCAATTGCTATAAAGTTCACAGCAATCATGGCTCTCTACTGCGAAAACTTTGGCAGGACCCTCCTGAAATGAAGTCATGAGCCTCTGAGGCTTTGTAAGATACACAAGTGTTACTGGTAGGAATCTCCTGGTTCCAACAGCCCACAGGGGATTATTGTGTCCGTCCGTCGTGCATCAAAACATGGGAGGGGTGGGCTGGGTGGAGAGGGGAGGGTGGGGATGGGCTGGGTGGGGAGGGGCTGGGTGGGGAGGGGAGGGTGGGGAGGGGCTGGGTGGGGAGGGTGGGGCTGGGTGGGGGGTGGGAGGGGTGGGGCTGGGTGGGGAGGGGAGGGGCTGGTCACCCCGTGGTGCCCTTATAAAACTCAACGTTTAACCTACTCACGTCGGCTTGTGCCCGCCCTCACAGTCGGCCATATTTGCGGAATACACCACGCCGCCGTTGACCCTGGCCATTGACCAAGCAACCCAACGTTCCTACCAGCTCCCTCCGCAGGAATGTGTTAACGGTAACGTGCTGAACTGTCTATGCAGGCAGGACACGTTCCTGCCCTGTGTGTAGATGTTTCTATTGGTCAAACATCCAAAGGAAGGTTAATCATGAACACGATCCGCTCCAGGTATTACTCGTTATCACTCGTAATTGCAGAAGTTGTTTCAATTAAAACTGAATTCAAAGCTTCCGTGTGTTTCTATTAACCACGGACACTGCATAGCTCTCCGATACGTGTTGCGTCGTGTATTATACGGATCAATGTGCGACGTTTCGCTCGATGCGCTGGGAGCTTCTTCGGGAACCGAATAAAAAAAAAACGTCACGAAAACTGTTCAGCCGGATGAGAATCAGAGGCCGAAAATAAATAAGTGACGCACACTTCGCAGCCCAACGAGAGCCCTCCTCCTCTCATTGAGACAACAATAGACGCACCTCCGATTGGCATGTTTGGCAACGTGCAGCCGACGAGACTCGAGCACTGCACCTTTGCGTTCATTATAAATGCCACTGAAACTCTCGCCATGCCCAAGTGCGTGACGCACGCGCCGAGCCCTAACCCCGGGTCATTTTCCGCCATCTGCAACATGTAATTTTATATTTTATTTTACCAGGTAAGGCCCATCACTGAGCTATGTAGGTCTTTTTTTCAGAAGCGACGTGGCCACATGACAGCTCAACGAAGTGGCTTATCACGTGGAAATTCGTAGCAGCAAAATGCTCTACACACGTGATTTTTTTCTTTTTTATGTGGAAGGAAAACCCGGAGGATCCTGAGAAAAATCCACGGAGAGAGACACGACAAACTCCAAATATACAGGCATCAGGGTCGACATGGAAACCACGACCTCCCTATACCAGGCGAGGTAGTTAACATCTCGCTACCGTGTGTGCCCTCTATACCATCGCAATGATCGCTGTTTTGGAATGGAAATTGTGAGTAAGATTCATGGTCGAGGAACGGGGAAAAAATGACGAAAAAAATGACGAATGGAATAGAATGGGTTGTGTTGGGTGTATACCCCTTTTATAGGGCTTATACGTTAGTTGATTATATGCCTAGACGTTCATATTTTTCTTGATCATATATTGGCTCGTGCGGTTGCGCCGTGTGTTTTTCATGTATACTGAAGAAGAATGATGCAGAGTGCACGTGATTGTGATACCAGTTGATGTTATGATCTATTAAATATTCAGATTTGTACTGTACGGAGTGTCAGAGTGGTTTAATTCTGTTTCATGAGTCGTATTGCTTCAAACAGCCTGTACTGCTGGACGGATCTATGAACCTGGTTAGTATCGTGGAGAAGGTCTTATAATTGATATAGGACAACTCCTTGCCACGAGCTTGCGATAATCAATTAAATGAATAATACATTGTAAGACTCTCCACATACAACAGGTGGATGCCCCTTTCCCCCACTTGCCACCGACTTACGGCATTTTATTTGTAAAGGAAATATGCGTTTACGCAGCCACTTAAAATATTTCACTTTGGGACCTTCGTCACATTCGCGATGCCATGTGACCGCCGTTGGGCTCCGTGACAAACTCGTAGCGGTCGACTCCACCTCACCTCCTTCATGCCTCTTTCTGCGAGGTCGGCAGTGGGCACACTCACCCTTGCGCATGAACGGTGACACGGTCTGGTCCATGAGGGTGGGCGGCAGGTGGCTGTAGTTGCTCATGGGGTTGTTTTTCATGACCGAGAACGAGCTGAGCCGCACCACCTCCTGCAGCTGCCGCTCCGACAGCGGCCGCTCGATGAAGTCGGCAACCCGAGACACCTCCCGTAGGGGATTCTGACCCCCACGGCAGATTGGAAGCAGTGCTCAGGTAACTCCGCGTCTGAGACCACGTCGCCCTGTGCACTCTGGCACTGGTTAATAAGGTTGTTGCCCTCGCGACTTGAGCAGAGGCAAAGTCCCCCCCCCCCCCTCATCACCGACCCGGTTCGAGTGAGGTACCGGAAACATGCGCACACGTGGGCCACGCAAGCCGCTTGTCGCAAAGGTTCGCAGCGCGGAATACAGGAAAGCCACCCTGGTTAAAGTGTGTGTGTGTGTGTTATGCAATAGCTACTAATAGTGTACCTATTCATACTGCCGATTTAACAAATGGTCATTAGAAAGATCTTGACTTCAAGCTTTCAGTGACTGCAGCAATTCATATTCTTGGGTCTTTCGGTAAAGTCACGTAGATTCTTGGATGTTTTAATTTAGGTTCTTAGATGATTTAATTGAAAAGAAAGCAAATGGCTCAATGGGACACCCTGTCTATAGGAAAGCCACCCATACGGATGCCTACCTAAAACCTAACTCCCACCATCATCCATCCCAGAAGAATTCCCTCATCAAAACTCTACACCATAGAGCTCGATGTATTTCTGACCGTCATCACCTCGCCAGTGAACTGGAACACGTACACCAAGCTCTCAAGACGAATGGATATTCAGACTACACAATCCGCAAAGCTATCATCCCAACCGTTGCGAAAGAACCATCTGAGGACCCTATCAAGACCATCACCTTGCCATACATAGCAGGGGTCACTAAAATATTTCCAAAATCATAAGCAAACACAAGATCCAGGTTAGATTGAACACAGTACATAACATTCGTGATCTGATCCAATCTGTGAAATATGTGATATCTGACATGCAATACCCCGGTGTCTACAAACTAAGCTGTGTCTACGGCAGTAGTTACATTGGGGAAACTAAGCGACATGTCTCGGACCGTGTTCGTGAACATAAGGCAGATCTGAAACACGGTAGGACCAATACCTCGGCTGTGGCTTACCATTGTTTTAATGCGGTGGGCTCACGCGAAATTGATTTCTCTAAGACAAACCTCACCTCCATCATGCCTCACAGCCTCACCTCCATCATGCCTCACAACCTCACCTCCATCATGCCTCACAGCCTCACCTCCATCATGCCTCACAAACTCACCTCCTTCATGTCTTCATAGAAGAAGTACAGGATCCGGTGCTTCTCTCTCGCGTTCCACCAGCCGGTCACGTGATCGTACCAGGAGCCCCACGGCACTGTTGGCAGTTGGGACACGCGCACACGTTGGCACCCTGGTGACAAGATGTTAACTACCTCTCCTGGTATACAGGAGGTCGTGGGTTCGATCCCGACCCCGACGCCTGCTGCTGTATATTTGCAGTTTGCATTCTCTCTCTCCCCGTGGTCGCGTGGGTTTTTCTCCGGAGCCCTCCTGTTTTTCGCTCCCCATTTAGAAACACGCCTTCAGACTCTTTGGCTGCAATAAATGTTCACATGATCAGCCACTTTGCGGAGCTATAATTTGTGTGGCCAGGTCGCTTCTGAAAAACTGATATATAGCTCAGTGGGCCTTACCTGGTAAAATAACAAATATTAAAATTTCGATTTAAAGCTTTCGTGACTGCAGGGATTCATATTCTTGGTTCTTTCGGTAAAGTCAAATATTTAGTGTGCTTTGATTGTTTGCTCTAGTTGTCACGGGACTGCTCATGGTAGAACGAGTCGTCAACGCGGGTGGAGAAGTGAGCAAAATGAAGTTCACGGAAGCATCGACCGTGTTCGTATCGATAGAAGAGTAACACGCAGGCATTTGACTGCCCCCTCTCCCCACCCCCGTGACTCGAGCGAACGGGTGAGTGCTGCGTCATCAATAAAGCTGCCCCGCTTCGGGTAAAGTTCCCCTGGAGAGAGTGAGGCGGTCCAAGGAGCAGGGCCACGCGGTGGTCGCCGCCCTCACCGCTGCCGGCCACGAAACGTGGGAGGTATTCCTCCCAGGAGCCGGGCTCCGGCTGCTGCCGATTCATGCGGTCGAAGTGGAAGTAGGAGACGGCGTTATCTTTAGCGTTCCGAGCCACATAGATCACCTGGGCACAGACGGGAGGGGGGGGGGGCGTTGGAGGATCAACTCAGAATCGGAGTCTCTATTGAGATGGCAAATCCAATGAGCTCAGAAACTGTTTTCACAGATGTCCAGTAGGGGGCGGGTCAGCACATTTCTACAGCAAACAATGCAACCACCGACAGCGGTGCAAAGTATAGGGAAGGCAAGCAAGTGATACAATCAGTGCCGGATGAAGCTAGTGCGGGGTCTGTAGCATATGTTATAAAGGGGCCCTAAATGAAAAAAAACACTTACATATTAAAACACACATTTTTAACTTGCATAGCAAAGTAATTGTATATTTTCATTTGCTATACAGCCAGATACTACGACAAATCGCTAACCTTAAACACCCAGTCGTTCATAAAAGTTGAAGGCGGTATAGTACTATAGTAATAGAGCAAGTGCAGAATCGCTGAACCGGAATTGATAGCTTGAAAGTATTTAGCGGGGGACCCTTGAAAGTGCGGGGCCCGTAGCATTATGTAGCTACTTTTGCTACTAGGATAATCCGGAACTGGATGCGATATAAATAGATAAAAAATACGTAATTATATAAGTACAAATAGCACAAGTGCATCGATGCCTGCCGATTTGTCAACAGCGAATACAATCTTGGGGCAAGGCAGCAAAAAACAGCCCCAGACCATACTCTTAGGTTTTTTCGGTAAAGTCACGTAGGTAAAAAATAAAATTCAAATTAATGAAAGTAAAATAAAAAATCACGACGTTTCGGCGGCAACACGAGCTTCCGTCTTCAGGTGGAACAGTCTCAGCACGATTGCTGTAACACGCACAGTGGCGAGGTATATCTGCTGTACAGTGGCGGCTCCTGCAAAATCTCTCAGGGGGGGCAAATGTCTGGATGATTGATAAGGATAAGGTCCACCCATGCAATGGATAAATTAACAGCTTAAGCATGTAAAGGCAACTTCACTTCTTTAATATTAATATTAATGAAAAATAAAGTGACTCTTACAATACATCTTGTTTGTTTCTATACTCACTATTAAAACAAACCACTCAAGTTTATTTGATTAAAGATTCCACTAGGTGGCCACAAATTATATTGTTGGATGAAACGTGCTTACGTATGATGACGTAAGCACGTATGATGACGTTAGCACGTTAGGGCGAGCCCTCCCGGAAGCCATAGAAAATGCATTGCAGCGTCCCCGTTCGAAAAAAAACATCTTTGAATGTAAGTCTATGGGGCCACTCGGGGCGATTCTCAGCCAGAGTGAAATCGCCCAAAAAGAGGCGGTACTCCACAGAACGTGACATGACGCTGATTGGACTATATCCAGAGGCTGCAGTGACGGCTAGCGTGACTCTGTGGTTGAATGACATTGGTGGTGCGTCGCCCAATCGCCCTAATGAAGAAACCGCCCCTGCTGCTGTATCAAGTACTTGATACAGCAATCGTGCTGTGACGGTTCCACCTGAAGACGGAAGCTTGTGTTGCCTCCGAAACGTCGTGATTTTTTATTTTACTTTTATTAATTTTAATTTCATTTTTTACCTACGTGACTTTACCGAAAAACCTAAGAGTATGAATCCTTGCAGTCACGAAAGCTTCAAATCTAGTCCCAGACCACACCAAAAAAACGCACGGTGCCTCAATATAATCGCACATTAAAACGTGACTATCGAAACGCTCACCATGTTAGTGGCGATTGAAGAGTGAAATGGAGACGGCTGACCGCCGAGTGACGGGAGCGAATGAGTGGATGTGGCGTCAGTTGAGACGCAGATATACCTCGCCACTGTGCGTGTTGCGGACTTCGCGCGAATACACTTCACCACACCACCTTCAACCATCGACCACAGAGTCTCCTTCTCTGTGCTGTTGTGTGTATGTGTGCACGTTGAACTTATTTCGCACCGTACGTAGCCAACCGTGCTAATCGGAGGTGAGGGGGAGGGGGAAAGAACGCCAAACTAAACCACAAAAAAGCAGTTCTAAAAAAATGAAGGTTTCAGTTTAGATGATTTAAAAGTGCGTTAGCTCCAGTGGCTTCTGAATATCAGAAGGAGGAGCGTTCCAGACGGCCGCCTTGCATTGTTCTCACGATGCTGCGGTGCAAGGTGTGCTTGCGTATCAGGTACAATGACATCGGATTATTGTGGATACGCGTACTTTGTACTCTCGTGGTAGTGCCTTACGCTGATAAATCCATACTCCAATCCTGCCGAGCAGCGTTCCGGTAAACATCAATGGTAGTGATGTTGGAGATGCTGCTACTGCTGCTGATGCCTTTGTCGCTCAGTCTGCTGCTACTGCTCTTGATGATATTGATGATGATGAGGATAATAACGACATGGACGATTGCTATGATAATCTCACTTTGCAGTCCTCCGCCCAGAAGGAAGAGGGAAAGAGCTTGTAGGGAACGTGGGTCTTGATGACGCGAGGAGACGGAAATTCATCGAGCAGCTCCACGCCTGCAATCGTGCACAAAGTAAAAACTGACTGCCTGCTCCGATGAGCATCGAGGTCGTGCTCACCTCCTGGTTACAGCGCCTGAGCCAGTGGTGGAGATTGTTCCACATCTCTTGTGGTGGGAGTGAGTCGATCCCTGGGGTCGGCAACCTGCGGCACCGGAGCCGCACGTGGCTCTTTAAGGAAGTGCTGCTTCGTGACGTTAATCTTGAAATATTGAGGGTTTGTTTTTTACCGAATTCGAAAGAAATTGCTCTTCTTGTTGTGTTGGTTGCCGACCCCTGGTCTATCCAAAGGACAAACACTGTTGACTTCCTGGTAAGTATTTTTTTTGTATCGACCCCAGAGTGATGATGGGCCGAGTAAACCTCCGACCAGGATCTGGTTGCGAGCCGCTCGCTCTACCGCTGAGTGCGGGTGATGGCGATGTTAAGTGGTGACGGTGATTATGGTGGGATTTGTTAATGGCTATTGATGGTAGTGGTGATGTAATTGACGATGTTGCTGAACATCATCATGATGATCATGGTGACAACGATACTCGTAGCAAGAATGACGAGGCAGATATTGTTCATGGATATGTTGCTACCAACGGTGGTCATGGTGATATTTTAAGCGCTGATGCTGGGGACCGAGCTGGTATTGTTAATTTTAATGTTGATTAGCATCATGAGGTTACTGATGCTGACGTTGATGATGGTGCTGGTGGTAACAATGATGGACTCAGCAGTTACAATGAGCACTCTTCTGCTTGTTTGCCCATGCAAGTCTCACTCAAGACCAGATTGTGCATGATTACAATGAAGAGGGTCGCAATTGATATATACTTCCCAACTAAGTAATCAGCAAGGTTTTTTCTTCTAATTTGGGGGGGGGGGGAAACCGAGACAGTGACGCCGTCACGCAATGGACTGCTCGTCTTCTATTGACGTCACGAGATCTTTAACATCCAGTGCCAAGCAGCCGGTGCATTATGGTTAATACCGCGGTATTGACCAGCAAGGTCTCTGCAACACGGAGGCGAATGCGCCTCCGCTGGGCTGTATCACCTCGTCACCGCTCAATGATGGTGAAGATATCGTGATGATGGTGGTGGTGGTGGTGATGATGATGACGATGCCATCACATCACCACTACGAAGCTCTGGCGGTTCCCCGGGACCGCAGCTCCACTCCATGAAGATCATGCGGTCATCGATGGTCGCGCGGCGGTTGTGTGCCAAGTCCGCGACGTTTATCACCAGATCCACGATCTCCTGCATCCACGTGGTGCCTGCAGCATGTGGATAGGGTGGAGATCAGTGGGGGGTGGGGGGGGAGAGAGCCGGGGTGATGATGGGAGGTGGAAAAAAAAGGCGAGGTGAGGTAGCGGAAAAGAGCCAACGCTGCCCGATCACTCAACACGTGTCTAGTGTGTGACGTTTGACACTCTCGCTGCTGCTCCTGATGATGATCATCATTTCAACGGATCACGCGCACAGTATTCGCTCACTCCCGAAGAGGGAGAACGGCTCAGAGGCACGAGTAGACACAGACGAACAGGAAGGCAGCCACGCGGTGAGCCGGCGCCAACAATTGCCCGAGCTCTGCGGTCCTCCTAATCGTGTCACGTTACCGGTCAATCGATTAGTGTTTTACACGTGGAAGGAAACCCGGAACACCCAGAGATAACCCATGCATGCGACCCAACAGATGGAGTCCACATTTTTGCTGTGCCGCGTTGCCCTGGCGAGCCCGAGAACGGGCCCCTCGTTGGTCGCGGAAAGGGAGGTTCACACGATTTGTGTGGTGATCCACCAACCCTCGCCTCCAGTGCTGGATTAAAGGCCACAGGCATAGCCACCCCGCCACTCGGCTAATTAATCATATCTGCCGTTGTCTACGTCACGATGCTGCTGCTGCAAATAATGATTCTGATGTAAATTATGATCGTGTTGCAGCTTGGTGCTGCTGAAGATAATGATGATGTTAACGAAGGTGGATCTTACCAGCCTTGGGGTATGTGGCGATGACGAGGTCATCGGAGCGGGCCTGGAGCTGCTCCACGCAGCTCCACTTGTCCGCGAGGAAGTCCAGCATGGGCACCCCCCGCACCAACTTCATTCCGGGCCTCTGCATCCCGGAGTACTCTGGAGTCTTGCGGAGTCTCGCGGAGAGTCTAGCGCGACAGACGTCGAGTGGTGCTCAAGTCAAGTGCCACGGTGGTGAGATGTTAACTACCTTGCCTGGTATACAGGGGGTCGTGGGTTCGAAACCCGAGCCTGACGCCTCTGCGTTTTTCACGTTCTCCTTGTGGTCGCGTGGATTTTTCTCCGGCTCCTCCGGCTCTTACCTCCACGTTTACCATCAACATCGCGCGTTTCGAGTATTTGGCTGCTATACGTTTCCACGTGATGATTGGCCACTTTTTCGAGCTATCATTTGTGGCCAGGTCGCTTCTGAAAACGAGCTATATAGCTCAGTGGGCCTGACCTGGTAAAATAAAATAAAACATGGTTGAGTTGTAATTGTATAACCAGGTGAGAACGCAAGAGGCCAGGATCCCGGTATCCAACGTTTGTCCTATGGTTGGAACCATCAAAACAACTTCGGACCAACAAACCATGTCTACTGGGGTAGTCTCACACTTTTAAGGCTAGGTCGACCTAGAGGAGGCCCCGCACCTGTTCGTATATTTATTTTTATTCACCGATATTATCTGGTGGGAAAGAAGCGAATTCAGTGACCGAGTTCATAGAGCAGTGTGATAACCGCTGCACCGCCACTCCAAAGACAACTGTCAGCAACACTTTCATGCACTGACAAACACGCCGTTCATGAGCCTCTTCCACAGAGGCCGATCTTGACACCGCTGGTACCAGTCATCGGCAAGTCCACTCAGCTCCACATCCTCCTGCACCACATCACTCCATCTCTTCTCCAGCCCGTGCCGCGCCCGTTTAGCCCCCTCTATCCGACCGAACAAAAGCTGTTTAGGCATGTGGTGGCTGGGCATGCGGGCTACATGACCCAGCCAACGCAGCCTTGCCTGCCGGAGGAGCTTACCGATGGGACTTTGTCCAGATCTTTCAAGGATTTGTGAGCTCACACAATCCAGCCTGGTGAAACCAAGGATGGATCGTAGGCAGGTCAGCCAATGCTCCCACGCCCCCTTCATTATTTTGTTGAGAAGAAGAGCCATCCCCTGTTGTTTGGCAGTCTCCTACCCCCAGTAGAGGACTGTCCACCCCTCATGGCAGGAGCCAGAGCCAGTTCACCGGACCTCCTGAATACCACAAAGATCCAGGCGGTACTGGTCCAGCTCCCGCCAGAGGAGTGGCAGCCTGTCCTCTGCAGTGAGTGTTCGAACATTCCACGTGGCCACCCGCAGTAGTTTCTTGCTGTTTCTGAAGGAACCCCAGGGTAAACATTCAATCTATTGGCTCCGCCAAATATGGTTTCGCCAGGAGACGTCAAGGACGCCTGTCCCCCCGGGGCCTCCGGCACAAACTTAATTAGATTTTTAATCCGTGGTATCGTGGTCATTTATTTGAAGATGGAAGGGTTACTAGCCCCTCGCACCCGTCCAGAGCCCCATTTGGCCGCTGTGGTGGCTACAAACGACATGATGGAATGGTCAATCTAAATTGGCCGTCCCCCCACGGCACTGTTCCCCACAGCGTTACTGTCCGGCACCAACGAGGAGGTAGGGTGTTGTTTTGCCGGACAGACACAAACACACACACGCCCGTCGCACACACACACCCGTCGCACACACAAAAACACACACAGACCCCCGTCGCACAAACACACCTGTCGCACAGACCCGCCCCCCGTCGCACAGACACACACACACCCCCGTCGCACAGACACCCATCGCACACACACAAACACAGCCGTCGCACAGACACACACACACCCGTCGCACAGACACACACACACACCCCCGTCGCACAGACACAAACACACACACACACCCGTCGCACAGACACAAAAACACACACACACAGCCGTCGCACAGACACAAACACACACACCAGTGGCACACACATACCTTGTCGAACAAACAAACACATACCTGTCGCCGGATCCCACGCTCAGAAAACGAATCCCACTCTAGCCGAGTGAGCTCTGGGCGTCGTCACACCGCCGACAAAACCGCAGTTGTGCGCGCCGATGAACCTTGGATTCGAGTCAATTGGCACCGAGTGTCAAAGCCAATCGTTTAGTATCCGATTTAAGTGCAGTTTGCGCGAGCGAAGGCTGTCTGGGACATCGGTAGGAGTGGATGCCGATGTATATATAAAATACGCTCCCTTTCCACGAGCAGGTCGTGCCACTCGTGAACGAGACGCGTATGCGAAGTAAAGGAGTAGCCCCTGCAAGTGCCTGCTCGTGGCCACTGCTGACCGAAGGGGCCACGGCAAACTCCACGAGAGCGAAACTCTGTGGCGAACGAGTCCACGTCAGCACGCGTGACGTGCCACTCTTCTTCGTGGTACGACGAGGTTCAGCAATACGCTTTGGTTTTATTTGATTTGCGCGAGTTTACTGAACTTTGGGCCAGTGATGTGAATTCACCCTTCTCTACGAGCAGTCAGTTTATGGCCGAGCAAAGACCGCTGCTGACTTTGCACACAAAAAGGCCGTGAGCTAATGGTGGGAATTCTACATTCCTGTGGTGTGGGAGGCGAGTCTCTCCATGGAACGTGCAATGTTGAATTCGCCGCAAAGTTGTACCTATTTTATCGATCCCAGAGGGATGATGGACTGAGTCAACAACCCCCAACCAGAATTTGAACTGGCAACCTTCTGATTGCGAGCTGCACGCTCTAGCGCTGACCCACCCGACAGGACTGAGCAAGCATCACAGACAGACGCGGGCTTGTGTGAGCTTTGGTTCGGTCGTTCTTTCAGAATCAACATCTTTCTTTTTTTCATAGTGGAGGAATTCGATGAGCTGTGAAGATCTTTTTCACAGATGTCCAGTAGGTACGGGCGGGTCAGAACGCTACACCACAACAAACAATACCAAACGCGATAGGGGTGAAAAGTAGAGGAAAGGTAAACAAATCACTTTACAAAGATATACAAATATAACGAAACAATGTTTTAATCTTACCAGGTAAAGACCACTGAGCTATTCATAATTATTAGGGCTCTGCTGCTGAGCTACCTTACGAAAGTGCCTCATAATACAGGCATGCACGTGGACTTTCTGGAGTTTTTGAAAAAATATATAAATCTGGTTTCCCCCCCCCTCCCCCTATGGTGTTGAGAAATAAGTAAATACACGTGCCACGTTCGGACGAATGGTCTTACCGGCCCGTGGGTTGCGACCCTGTGACCTTGTTTGAAGTGAGGGAGTGGATGTAGGGAAGGTGGGGGGGGGCTATGCATACTCAGGGGGGACACGAGGGTCAATGTCCAGCACACGTGAAGTCGATATTAAACGTGACGGCGATACGAGCTGCTCTTGTCCAGCCATCGTCTCGAGCCCTCGCCCGCTGTGCAACGACTGCACCAACACGTCTGGACTCGACGGTGCGAGTGGAGAAGGGGGGCTGCGCCTTCAGCGGGAGGGGGGCAGGCGCGCTTTGCACTCTAGTGGTAGTGCCTTACGCCAATAATCCATAGTCCAAACCGAGCGGCAGGGCTCTGTGGGGCTTGATTGATCTTTCTTAATAGGTTTGTGTTATGAAATGTTTGAACGTTGTAATTCATTCATGGAGCCATACGTTATTATTATTAAATATTAATGTAGGAGTACGTTTATTGTATGTTATATAAATGATACCGCTTTTCAGGGAAATGGGCCTCATGCATGAATAATGTAATACGCAGTACAGCAAAGTGACTGTGCAAATAAGTTTATTTTATGGGATTTTACTTCATGACAGCATAATTTACAAATTAAATTCGCATAGGAAAGACCTGCAAGGCGTGCAGGACTATATTATAACGTGTGATCAGGATCTGTGCACACACGGCGCTTTATAAATTCGCCTCCACATCTCAAAGCGCCTCGCGTGACATTCACAATCATTCCAGCGCCCAGCTGCAGTTTGTGGTTTTTTTTTTGCTTGCCTAGGGGACCGGCTGATGACAGCTGCCCCTGTGCAGCACAAGTTGACAAAGCAACCGACCTTGTAAAAAGTGTGGAAACTCTTGAGAACAATCTTTTCACTCACTCGATTTAGTTACAAGAGGAGCAGCTGAGAAACCATAATGCCCTGCCGTGTTTTGTTTAACTGGAGAAACCAGTTTCGTTTTATTTTTGTGTGAATATTTTCATTGTTTTAGTGATTTGTTCACCTTTCCTATACTTTGCTCTCCTATCGTGTTTTTGTATTGCTTGTGGTTGTTACTTTCTGACCCGCCCCTACTTGACATCTGTGAAAAAGAGCTTTATAGCTCATCGGATTCCTCCATTATAAATAAATATTCTGTTTCCAGTTGTTTGTCGTCAGCTGGAAGGTTATCATTGCTGTGTTGTAAATCCTGCCCAGTAACGATCACTCTACCCAGCTCGCACCGCCGTGCCGTGCAGCAATCGCCGCCACCGACTCATTGCCCCGTGCTCACTCGCACAAGTCCACGGGGAGCCCTGCAGCTCTCACGGTGCCAGAGACACCCGATCGGCCACACGGACAAACAGCACGGGCGCTTCTGGTCACGTCTTCAAGGTCTCCCACGCACAACTCCACGAGGTCATGGCGACATCGCCATCACAGCCACTGCCAACGCACACAGGCGATGACGCGCGTGTACCACATGGCGGCGCTATAACACGGCAGCCATTTTATCCACTCGCTTCGGTAGCCAATTCGGCAGCCATCTCCCAAGGTGTCGTGGCGTCGTTTAAACGAATGTCGTCATTCTCTTTTAGAGACATTCTCAGTTTGCACCTCCAGGTGTCACTCGTGCCTCGATTGACAGGGAAGCGCAGTTCCAACTCCGCTACAGCTGGGATTCCCGATTACTTAAGTAATGTAATTAACCCATTTAATCTACTGACTATCGTTTATATTGCTCGATACCGCAAAAATAGCTGGGGGGGGGGGGGAGTGGAGGAAGTCTCTCCTCCGTTCCCACGTGTATCGCTGGACGGGAGGTGATATGGGGGGGGGAGGGGTGATGACGTCATAAAGCATCATCATCAGTCGCGTCACATTGGGAGTGGCTTGTTGGGGTGTCCCGCCTTCAGGAGGCAGGAATTTGGGGCGGCTGACATTTTTTTTAAAGGCGCCTGTCATCGACCAAAAAAATAAGTAGCCAATAGCAATTCTTAGTCGAATAATCGATCAGATCGGCTGATGGACCCAGCTGGGAGCCTCCACCCATTGGAGATGTTGGTTTGCACGCAGTCACGTCTCACGTGCCTGGCATTGTGTGTTTGCACCTCATCGTTTACGTCAATACCTTTGTCCCCTTGCGAACAGAGTTCATGCGAGTAACAGTTATTTTTCCGTTCAAGTGAGCGAATTATCTCTCCAAATTCCGGCCCTCAACTCCCTTTCGCCACCAGGGGCTCACGTGACACCAGCGTTCAAGCAAAATTTAATCTAGGGGCCCCCTGATAACAGCTACCCCTGTGCGATGCAAGGTGACGTAGAACCGGTCTCCCCCCCCCCCCCCACTCCATTTTTTTTTATTTTGTTCACAAAGGCGGTGTCACATTAACAACACGTGTCTATTCCACACACACACACTTGCACTGCAAACAAAATAATAACAGATGAATTGTACTCACATGATCAATACATATCTCTCCGATTATGTTTTTGGGGTTGCACTGCGTGTTGTTGAGCGGATCGCTCAGTCGACTGGGAGCTTCTTCGGGAACCTCCTTGTCTCGGTCACAGTTGAGATGATGCAGGAGTACGGTCATCGAATTAGAGGCCGACCAAAACTGAATTTCTGGTTTCGGCTGAAACCGAAACCAGACCGAAAGTTAAAAATTTACTTTCGGCGAAAACCAAAGCCGAAACCGAAAGTTTAACTTCACTTTCGGCCGAAACCGAAAGTTTAACTTCACTTTCGGCCGAAACCGAAGCTGAAACCAAAGTTTAACTTCACTTTCGACCAAGACCGAAACAGAAAGGTATATAACCGAAGTTAGCGAACACAAGATTTATGAAATACTAGCTTTACTACCCGGCTTTGCCCGGGACTTGGATTCACCACGGCCGGCCGCCTTTGTCTCCCCAGTAGCGATGTTGACATACCACACCACTTACTCGTTTGAGGCTGAGTCGACCTAGGGGAGGCCCAGGACAGGTTCAAATAATCGTCACCGGCCGTGAGCGGGAATCGAACTCGGGCCGCTGGGTTCGTAGCGCAGCGCGCAAATCGCTACGCAGTCGCTGCCCCCCCCCAGGTGCGTGACGTCATTTATTGACGGCCCAAAACAATCATTGCGGCTGTAACCTCACTCGCAAGCTGCTGCTGACGTGTGTGTATGTATGCAGCCTATCGCCTAGCGCCGACTGACCGGCTGATAGACTTAGCACTAGCGTTATATTCTAAAAATAGATCTTCGGTTGACGACCGAAAGTCAATATCAGTTTCGGCCGAAACCGAAACCAGACCGAAAGTAAAAAATTGATTTTCAGCCGAAACCGAAGTAAACCGAAAGTAAAAAATTGACTTTCGGCCGAAACCGAAAGTATGCCGAAAGTGTCCATTTGCCAACTTTCGGCGCCGAAACCTAAACGGAATTTCAGTTGGCCTCTACATCGAATGTCTCGCATCCCAGCGAGCGCCTTTGACATTTACCAGGAGTAATAATAATACTGTACTTGTTACATTCACCGTTTAAATAAAATATGCAATTCGTGTACGTACGTATGTATGTTGAACTTCTTTCGCGCCGTGCATAGCCAACTGTGCTAATAGAAAGTGTGTCTACAGTTATGAAGCAAACATCAAATGCTGAACGGTTACCTGCATATGGCTCAACTGGAAATACACAGGGAGACATCACCCTTGCTAGGAAAACCTGGTGGGTCCCTGGTCAACAAAGGTCGTGGAAATATTATAATTTAGTACTTTCCTTCCCTGCGTAGACAACTTACATTTGTCGTTATGGTAAAAGTTGGCGGAGCCATTGTCTTCCTGCCGTTTTGGACGAGGGTGGGATGTATGGCGTGAGTTGCGGTTGTTCCCGTTTATCATTCTTATTAAGGAGTTGTATTTTTGCCAGCCCATCCTGAGTGCGATCATCTTTGACTATGCAAGCTAGCAAGGTGGCGAATAAGGAAATAGCCTACACCTATTTGTGCAATTCTATGGGTGTTCCCGAACCTTTTTGTATTCTTTCGGCCAATACGTCATTCGTACAGAGGGCACATCCTTCAACCTCATCGACGGATCCCAGGAGTATTCGGGGGAGAGCACTTTGCTCGGCTTGTTGTCAAAAAAGTAGCGGTTCAGGTGGCTCTCGTCGTGCCAGATCGCCTCGATCCCCTTCTCCCTGTCGCGGACGATGCCCCGAAAGATCCCTCGCGTCACGTTCACCACGCCTGAGCAGCAGCCCCCGAACACGGCGGCGTGGTAGTAGAAGTCCCCCTCCCCGTGCGCGATGTAGGCTGCCGACTTGGGCCGCCGCTCGTACGGGAAAGTGAGCGGCCCCTTTGAGAAAAATCCCGCGTGGATCACTGCTACGGTGTCCCCCAGCACCTCCGGGCCCCACGGGCCCGTGAAGTATTGGTCCACGTCGAAGCAGAAGACGTAGTCGGCTAGGCCCGTCAGGGTGCTCTCGACAAGGTCGCCGATGGTCTTCATGCGGTCCATGCAAATGTCCTGCCACCGTGCCTGCTTCTTGACCTTTCAGACATCGCCACCACCCATCATATTTGGTGGACAGGGCCCACCGAGTGAAGGGAATTTGTTGGCAGCTTCCGATTCTCTCTCTCTGAGCCTAAACTCTTAACACTGTGCACGTTATTAATTGAATTATCGTTAATTTCGTAATGCTCTTAAGAAAACGTTTGCCAAACAAACACGTCACATGGGCATACGAGGCGAGTTGAAGAGCTTGGCAAATACCGCTTGTGTATTTTTTTTAAGAAACCGGTCATCCTGCACGGCATTGTGGAGTGCATAGCAGTGCGATCAACAAACACCGAACACAGCCATCACTCACGCCGCATTCAATAGAAGGGAAATAAACCACATACGTATTAACACAATGTGTCTTTTTGTATGTGTGTTGAACACTCTTTAGCATTATACATAGCCAACCGTGCGAAGCGGCCCTTCCTCGTGACAAACAATGTGAATACGGGTCATTTGCCTGTAATGTGTTTTTCCCCCTTCATGTTAGGGCACTGCTGTTGGCGAATGTGTTAAATTATTCCTGTGAATTTAGGTTCAATAAATCGTGATGCACTGCCGCTTTGGAAGTCGGCGTTACCCTCATGAGGACTCACAAGTGAGCTTCAAATTGTTGCTTAAATCGTTGTTTTGTTTATCTATGTGACAACTAAAGAGATCAGGTGAGTCTCATTTTCTAGAGCTCGAGCGGCCTGGCTCACCATTGACAGCAAATCGTTCCACCATCTTGTGTATTTTACTCACCTTAATTGAGACGAGAGATCTTCCGGGTGCGAGGTCAATCACAGGTACATATGAGGGAAAGTCTGTCAAGACGAAGTACGTGACCTCATGGCCCAGCAGGAAATATCGTTCTGCCGTTTCCAAAAATCTAGGCAAATATTTGTCCAGGTATCTGTGGAGTCAAAGGCAAAAGTCGAAGTTATTTTCTGCTGAAAAGGAGTATCGAGGCAGGGCTCATCTCCTGTTCTTAGCCCTGAGCCATTGACGGAGTCTCTGCAGGACACCCACTGTTGAATTTAACGCAAAGCGGTGTTCGTTAAGTCGAATGTTAAAGTTTGCGCTGGCTCACACCATAGTCCCATCCGGGCCCAGGATTCCAATGAAGCTGAGCCTGAGCCCCAAGGCATGGCTGAGCCGCTCATCCACGCGTCTTGGAAGCAATTGAGCAACTCAAGCGTGAGCCGAGATTGAGCATTCGAGGTCGAGCCAGAGGCAAGCCACGTATAAGCGGTCCCAAGAAAGACTGAGAGGCGGGCACACGCTCTCCGTCAAAGCCGAATTTTTGCTTGCGTCAAATCAATGCTGCTCAAATCATGCGCTCCTAGAATGTCCGTGGTGGGCAATGGGATGTATATTGCAACTCCTCTACTTACGAACATTTGACTTACGAACTTTCAGAGATACGAACAAACCTTGTCCATATGTTCAGTTGCCTGTTCGGACCCAAAGTAGCAAGTTCAACCGGCGCACAAAAGATGGCGGTGGTGGCATCTACATCTACCGGAGATTATACAACTTTTAAAGCCATTCCCCGTGTTAAGTGTCCATGCTGTACAACATGTTTGGAATTGACAGGAGTAAAGTTGTAGTTAGGAACAAATCGACTTACGACCAGACCTCTGAAACCTAACTCGGTGTTAAGTAGAGGAGTCCATGTATAAACAACACTGTCCCCGTACCTTGTACGTGGAGGGACGTGAAAAGAGGCCGTGTGGTCTGCGCGTCGATGCGGGGGGGGGGGGGGCGTCAACTCCACGGCCGTCACGCAATTCACCGTCCGATGGCGAACACGGTGACGACCACGCGGAAGGGCGTGCCACCCGCATCCTGGCTGTCCACCTGGGCGGGGTCGAGCGTGTCGCTCCACACGATGGGTGTCCCCCACCCGGTCGTCCTCTTGAACTCTGGCGTCGTCCTGCGAGGCACGGTGGGTTGACTGCTCGGTCAAGAGTTGCCCCACTCCCCTTCAAGAATGCTCGATGGCATTCGTCAGTGGCACTACCTTAAAGGGAAACGTAGTGCCACGTTTTGGGGCAATGGCCAGACCAAATGTACCACTTTGTGGGGCGGTTAACAGTGGCTGTCCTATGCATATACTCGCCTCCACCATATGAACGTGGAATTTCCACCACTGACACTAAGCTGTAAACAGGAGACGAACACATCCCCCGATGCTCACTTTGAGTGATTTACCAGCTCAGGCTGCCAAACCTTCTCTCCCTCGCCCACATCGCACGAGTCTCTGTCGAGCCACAACAATTATCACTTTCGTTAAACGTTCCACATTCCGCTATTTCGCATGGTTGCTCTCGTTGTGACGCTAATTCACAAGTTGCCCTTGTCGTTTATCCGATAAGAAATTCAGAGATCTCATCGAGCTGGTACCAGCGCTCGCTCGGTATAAGTATTTTCAATTCCAACATTGTGCAAAAAACGTAAGTGGAGTGTACACAGCAGAGGTGTGGACTCGAGTCATGTGACTTGGACTCGAGTCAGACTCGAGTCATGAATTTGATGACTTCAGACTCGACTTGGACTTGCATAACAATGACTTTGTCCCACCTCTGAGGTGTGGACTCGAGTCATGTGACTTGGACTCGAGTCAGACTCGAGTCATGAATTTGATGACTTCAGACTCGACTTGGACTTGCATAACAATGACTTGCGCGAGTCATGTGACTTGGACTCGAGTCAGACTCGAGTCATGAATTTGATGACTTCAGACTCGACTTGGACTTGCATAACAATGACTTTGTCCCACCTCTAAGGTGTGGGACTCGAGTCATGTGACTTGGACTCGAGTCAGACTCGAGTCATGAATTTGATGACTTCAGACTCGACTTGGACTTGCATAACAATGACTTTGTCCCACCTCTGAGGTGTGGACTCGAGTCATGTGACTTGGACTCGAGTCAGACTCGAGTCATGAATTTGATGACTTCAGACTCGACTTGGACTTGCATAACAATGACTTTGTCCCACCTCTGGTACACAGACCTCTCAGCCTTGGACGTTATGCAACACCACCCAGTGCCTGAAGAACTGCATTGTGGTGATATCTTAACCTCCCGTGGCTTCGCACAATGCCTTTGGTAGACACCCTGCACGTGTCTCTGAGCGTTATTGTTCCGACCTAATATAACTTGCTCCCAACAGTCTGGCAAAGGCTATACGGGGGGGGGGGGGGCGGTCTTTGTTTGTTGTTCCGACATGTGCTCACGTTTCTGCCGTGATTGCGGGGGGGGGGGGGTCTCTCGTCCTTTACAAATCTGAAGTCGTTCCATTGCGATTCGCGCTCGCCGCGAGCACAAACCGTCCGCGACATTGACTTTACACACTGCGCGGATGCAAATGTGGGTTGTTGCGTGTGTTGCACGGGTTGTTTTTGTTGTTGTTTCAGAGACTCGTAATATCCTCACCTGTGCAGAACAAATGCCGTTACAATGCAGCCCAGAGCCACCAGGAGCCAGAGACCCAATCTACCACGAACCGAACTGCCCGCAAGTCGCCTCAGCATTGCAGCTTCTGCGGGGCAGGGTGGTGGCGGTCAGAAAGAAAAACAATTACACTATGTAACACGATTTTTGTTCCTGGGTAGTAAGTCTTAATTTCTAATTGCTTATGCCTCAAAAATATACAAAATGCCTATTCTTCCCCACAAACGTTGCTTTTGTGACCAGGACTGCATGTGAAGGAATGACGCAAATGCACACCACGTTTTCTCATTGAAAATAGGCACATTTCAAAACATCACAAGTAACTGTTTGTGGAGCAGCGACGTAATTAGAAAATATTTTTACGTTTTAAAAATATCTGAATATAAAATTACGGATTCAATTTTGACTCAGTGGACTTTGCGTGACATGTCCGCTCGGAAAGTGCGTCTCCTGTATTGTACCGGCCTAGCATGTGGCAGGGGGCATGGAACAGGGTGGTGGGCAGTGCAAAGCACGCTGCACGGTCTGCCTGCTTCCCTCGCTCTGCCTATGAATCCCACAACGGCGCTTGTGAGGCTTCCCCAAGATGTTTGCTTTCACGTCAAAGCCCACGAGGCAGTATCACCGCAATGAGCCCCGTCATCCTCATGGGAAGTGAGTCTCGGTTCGAACTGGGACAGCGGCGCTGGGAGGCACGCGGTGCGCGGTTGTCGCTGAGCGGTGGAAGAAGCACCGCGCACACAGCTCTGGATCACACCTCCGATTATCACAGTTGGTCACGTACGGCGCGAAAGAAGTTCAACGTACGTGACACGCGCCGAAAATCGTCGTGACCCTCCGCGTAACGGATTTCTGGCCGCGGCAGGCAGCGGGGCTGAACTCTCGCTCGCTCTTACACGTGCGGCGTGGGCGCGTTTCTTGGACCAAATCGCGGGTTCGTCACGGAGACGAGGGAAAAGATCGCGACTCTCCACCGAGTATCCTTCATGCGTCAAACCCCGTTGAAAATGCGAATGCGAATATGTGATTACTTGTATACGGTCACCGAAAGAGAAAATGTAGCCATCCCACTAATAACTCGGCTCATTGTGTGGCCGTATTTGCACGGATTGACATCTCGATGTATCCGGAACGCTGTTAGGCTGGCTTGGAACATTATATATTGGAGTAAGGCACGACCGCTGGAGTTCAAGGCATGCCTTTATACAATCATCATATATTAGTGTACAACATACCGTATTTGTTAAAATCTTATCAAAAGGTTTGTGATCATCAAATCAATACGAAAATGGATGTGGCGTGCCAAATTAATTACCGGAACAGTCGTTCTGGACCGTTCCCAGGTTTGAAATAAGGAAAACAAAATCTGAGTTTACCCACTGAATAGTTGAGTCGTCATGTGAGTGTGTGTCTTTGAATATCGACACAGAACGGGTGCCTGTGAGTCATGAGACTACTTGCTCACCTGTGAGTCCCTCCGTAGGCTCCCCCTGCTCGCGCAACAGATCCGTTGCTGCTGCTCTAGTTATATATCAGCGATGTAACCACCCATCAATGCCACATCGCCACGCCCGTGCGCATGAAAACGCCGCCACAGAACACACATTAAGAGCAAAGAAGCACGTTTTAAAACGCAAACAGCCTCGCAGCGACACGCACTGCAAACAATAGTGGTGATGACACAATTGTGCTCGGCCGTGGGTAGTAAGAAGATGTCAGCGTTAGCTAATGGGGCATAACCCCCACGCGAAACGGGTTCTCTAAAGTCAGTGTGATTTCCTGCTCCAATGGGCATTGAGAAATTGATGGTCATCTATGGTTACAGCACTGAGCCTGTGGTTAATATTGCACATTCCTATGGCGGGGGTAAAGGCGAACAATCTCTGTGACTGTATAATTTGAAAAACCCCGTAACTTCGCTTTAGCACTGTTTTCAAATCACCTGAAGCTGTTAACTGACAAACGTATCTTCACCGATGGACGCTTGAAAGCGAAGAGTGAATGAAGTCGAGTGCTGATCCTGTCTGAAGTAATTTAGCAAATAACGAAGACCAAAGAGAAGCATTAGAGTTACGTGGAAATTGATCAGAGTATCGTTTTGCCTTGTCTAAATGTAATGGCAGAAGAATGAAGAAGAAGAATGTCATCAAACACTTCACGGAATTGCACTGTAACACGGTTTTAACGGTAGTGAATGTTGCACAAAAGAAAGTCATAAAACACCTCACAGCATTTGACCACAGCACTGTATTAATGGCAGTGGTTGTTGCACGCCACTAAGTCATAAAACACCTGAAGCAATGTCACAATAGCACTGCCTTTAACGGACGTTCAATTACTAGCAACTCACTGCTCTGATAGTTACTTATCCTCCGCTTTCGCTCGTTGGGGTTGAAAACAATTGGAGTTCGATACAATGTCTGCAAAGTAGCAGATAAATGTGTATTGTAGGATAATTTGGCAGCCTAAAGTCGACTTGCCTTTTGTTGGACGTGCCGAAGAAATTAATAAAGGCACCAAATGCACTGCGATGCGACGTAGAATTATTTATTGGCCTCACTTTCTATAAAGATACGTAAAATCGAAAGCGGATTTGCGAAAAAATATATAATAGCCACTCGACCTTTTGGGTTAGTCAAAAAATCCATGCACACATTAATAATGAGGGGGGGGGGGCATGTGGAGTGACGTCACGCGCGGGACACACACATCTTGTTTTGGCTCGTTATATTAGTTGCTGCGTTGATTTCTTTATTAGCTTTATTTTCCATAAAGAAAGGTCAAATGAAAGCTAATTTGCGTAAACAAATTTTCGTTTCCGCTCCATCTTCTTCATGCTGAGTGACGTCACCCGTTCACGATCATTAATGACGGCGGGAGGGGTCCATGTGGAGTTCCCCACCTGTTCATGATTATTAATGAGGGGGGCTGGTCGACGTGGAGTGACGTCACGCGCGTTACCCACAGACATTCTTGGCTCATTACAGTAGTGATATTTTTCACGTGGAAACACGAAATGGGCTTGTGCTAATACTAATGTTATACCTGGAGACATGAAATGTGGCAGTATTTGCATTGCTCGCGAAACTCCGTGGCAACGCAGAGCGAGCGTGCACGCTGCGCAATAAGAAGCGTGGATGTAAAACTGCGGACAATGGGGTGTTAGTACACACAAGCGTTGCCGCAAAGCACAAACATCGGCTCTGTTGCGTAAAAGTCGAGGGGTCAAGAGGACCCCCCCATCTCCTATCCTGTGCTCTTTGGTTCTTTCGGTAAAGTCACGTAGGTGAAAATAAAACAAAATACAATAAAAAAGACTAAATTAAATCACGACGTTTCGGAGGCAACACAACTCAGAGAGTCGTCTAAAACAAATCAACACCTTACCTTGGTTGATTACGTTCTTCCAAAGATTGCTACATTTGAGAGACACAAAACACAGACACGGACACACACAGACAGACACACAAGCAGAGAGAGAGAGAGAGACGACACAGAGACACACAGAGAGAGACTTATCTAAAAATATATCTAAAAAAAAAACTTACCAGCGCTCGTAGAACTCGGCAGCACTCATAGAACGTTTCCACACTCATAGAATGTATCCACACTCATAAAATGAATGCACACTCATAGAATGTATCCACACTCATAGAATGTATCCACACTCATAGAATGTATCCACACTCATAGAAGGTATCCACACTCAAAGAACGTACCCACGCTCATAGAACGTTTTCACACTCATAGAATGTATCCACACTCATAGAATGTATCCACACTCAAAGAACGTTTCCACACTCATAGAATGTATCCACCCTCATAGAATGTATCCACACTCATAGAATGTATCCACACTCATAGAATGTATCCACACTCAAAGAACGTACCCACGCTCATAGAACGTTTTCACACTCATAGAATGTATCCACGCTTATAGAATGTATCCACACTCAAAGAACGTTTCCACACTCATAGAATGTATCCACACTCATAGAATGTATCCACACTCAAAGAACGTATCCACACTCATAGAATGTATCCAAACTCATAGAACGTATCCACACTCATAGAATGTATCCACACTCAAAGAATGTATCCACACTCAAAAAACGTATCTACACTCAAAAAACATATCCACACTCATAGAATGTATCTACACTCAAAGAACGTATCCACACTCAAAGAACGTATCTACACTCAAAAAACATATCCACACTCATAGAATGTACCCACACTCAAAAAACGTTTCCAGACTCATAGAACGTTTCCATACTCATAGAACGTATCCACACTCATAGAACGTATCCACACTCATAGAACGTATCCACACTCATAGAACGTATCCACACTCAAAAAACGTATCCATACTCATAGAACGTATCCACACTCAAAGAACGTATCCACACTCATAGAACGTATCCACACTCAAAAAACGTTTCCATACTCATAGAACGTATCCACACTCAAAAAACGTTTCCACATTCATAGAACGTATCCACACTCAAAGAATGTATCCACACTCAAAGAACGTATCCACACTCAAAAAACGTTTCCATACTCATAGAACGTATCCACACTCAAAGAATGTATCCACACTCAAAAAACGTTTCCATACTCAAAGAACGTATCCACACTCAAAGAACGTATCCACACTCATAGAACGTATCCACACTCAAAGAACGTATCCACACTCAAAGAACATATCCACACTCAAAGAATGTATCCACACTCAAAGAATGTATCCACACTCAAAGAATGTATCCACACTCAAAGAACGTATCCACACTCAAAGAACGTATCCACACTCATAGAACGTATCCACACTCAAAAAACGTATCCACACTCAAAAAACGTTTCCATACTCATAGAACGTATCCACACTCAAAGAACGTATCCACACTCAAAGAACGTATCCACACTCAAAGAATGTATCCACACTCAAAGAATTTATCCACACTCAAAGAACGTATCCACACTCATAGAACGTATCCACACTCAAAAAACGTATCCACACTCAAAAAACGTTTCCATACTCATAGAACGTATCCACACTCAAAGAACGTATCCACACTCATAGAACGTATCCACACTCAAAAAACGTTTCCATACTAATAGAACGTATCCACACTCAAAAAACGTTTCCACACTCATAGAACGTATCCACACTCAAAGAATGTATCCACACTCAAAGAACGTATCCACACTCAAAAAACGTTTTCATACTCACAGAACGTATCCACCCTCAAAGAATGTATCCACACTCAAAAAACGTTTCCATACTCAAAGAACGTATCCACACTCAAAGAACGTATCCACACTCATAGAACGTATCCACACTCAAAGAACGTATCCACACTCAAAGAATGTATCCACACTCAAAGAACGTATCCACACTCAAAGAATGTATCCACACTCAAAGAACGTATCCACACTCAAAGAATGTATCCACACTCAAAGAATGTATCCACACTCAAAGAATGTATCCACACTCAAAGAATGTATCCACACTCAAAGAACGTATCCACACTCAAAGAATGTATCCACACTCAAAGAACGTATCCACACTCAAAGAACGTATCCACACTCAAAGAACGTATCCACACTCAAAGAACGTATCCACACTCATAGAATGTATCCACACTCATAGAATGTATCCACACTCAAAGAACGTATCCACACTCAAAAAACGTTTCCATACTCATAGAACGTATCCACACTCAAAGAATGTATCCACACTCAAAAAACTTTCCATACTCAAAGAACGTATCCACACTCAAAGAACGTATCCACACTCATAGAACGTATCCACACTCAAAGAACGTATCCACACTCAAAGAACGTATCCACACTCAAAGAACGTATCCACACTCAAAGAATGTATCCACACTCAAAGAACGTATCCACACTCAAAGAACGTATCCACACTCATAGAATGTATCCACACTCAAAGAACGTATCCACACTCAAAGAACGTATCCACACTCAAAAAACGTATCCACACTCAAAAAACGTTTCCATACTCAAAGAACGTATCCACACTCATAGAACGTATCCACACTCAAAGAACGTATCCACACTCAAAGAACGTATCCACACTCAAAGAACGTATCCACACTCAAAGAATGTATCCACACTCAAAGAACGTATCCACACTCAAAGAACGTATCCACACTCATAGAATGTATCCACACTCATAGAACGTATCCACACTCATAGAACGTATCCACACTCAAAAAACGTATCCACACTCAAAAAACGTTTCCATACTCATAGAACGTATCCACACTCAAAGAACGTATCCACACTCATAGAACGTATCCACACTCAAAAAACGTTTCCATACTCATAGAACGTATCCACACTCAAAAAACGTTTCCACATTCATAGAACGTATCCACACTCAAAGAATGTATCCACACTCAAAGAACGTATCCACACTCAAAAAACGTTTCCATACTCATAGAACGTATCCACACTCAAAGAATGTATCCACACTCAAAAAACGTTTCCATAC